TTCTCTTCAGAAAATAGAGGGCACCATAGATGTTCGTCTGTAGAAATCTATCATCTGATAAATAATTGAAATTCAAAATGGGCTTAATCCTTATTCATTTTCATTCTCTGGTTCTGACTGTACTTATTTTTAGCCTAGTAATCTTGTTTATTTTTTTTCTTCACTTTTTAAATACAAGCATGACATAGGAAAGTCAGATTTTTTTAAGAATTCATGGATCAGTCTGATCTATCCTTATAATAATGGAACATGTAAATATATTGAAAACTGTTTTTCAGGAAATGAGTGAGGGTTGGAGGGAAGGAAAAAGTGATTCTACTTGTGTTCCAAAATCCTCGTCAGAGAAGGTATTAACGTTCTTCAGGTAATATCTGAAGGTGTCGAAAATATTTTTTATCTGATTGAAAGGTTTAGCAGATTTAACAGAAAAGATAAGAAGGGGCATAATGATTACCAGTTTTCCAAACTGGATTTTTATATCACAACTGTTAATGTTCTCAGAGTTGTTCTCAGAGTTGATGAAGGACCACCTTTATGTATAAAATTGTCATATTTTAAACCTTGCAGTGGTAACAAATTGACCTACTTTAATCCAGTTAGAATTCAAGATGGCTATGTCTTCAATTGTATGATAAAATTAATGGCTCACATGACTGTGTGGCGTCTAAAAATACCTGTTTTTACAGCATCTCTCTGCCACCAAATTGTTGACTTGAATTTTGAAAAACAAGTTGGTATTGATATGTATATGTGTGTGTGTATATATGTATTTATAGACAAGTGTGTGTGAGTAACAAGTGAGTTATATAGTCTTCCCTACGCATGTGTATTCCACACATACATGGCTGAGTTATAGTCACTAAACAACTTGCAATAAAAAAAAATTTCATTGTCAGTTAAAACAGGAAATAGTTAAGTTTTTAAATGAATCTGGTGTTATGGTGAGTAAACACTTTAGAACTCTCATTGCCATGTTAACTTAGGCTAATATCTAATAGTATTATAATTTGTGTCTAATTCAGATTGGGATAGAAATTACTTAAATTGTAGGGAGTTGCTTCTTATTTCACATTGTAATAGGAAATGTTTCTATTAATTCAGCTACCTAAGATAAAATGAATAGTTTTGTTTTTTTCTTTTTTTGTCGTCGTTAGTGGTCTCAGAATTCTGATCAATAACTTTGTGTATGATGCTGAATTACGAACTCTTTGAATGATCCAGTTGAAAACCCGTCCCTCTACTTTCTTCAGCCCAGTTTTGGAGAGAGTTATTTTCCCTCAGTGTCTTGCATTATACCAGCCTAAGGGAAGAACAGGTAACAGGGAGAAATAAATGTCTGTCTAGTAGCTTTGGTCATGTCTCCACAGGAGCAACTAACCATTCAGTTGTCTTTATTTTAGTTCATTCCACTGTAAGGAGTTTGTTCCCTTCAGTTGTTAACTTTCTAAAATGTTGCAGTAGTAGTAGCTATTACTCTGTTGGTTCATGGCCGATGTTAATCAATCAGACTTTTATGATCCGTAGTAATTATTAGTGGAGTAATGCGCTACATCTTTATCTTCTAAGTTTTGTTTTGTTTTGTTTTTTAAGCACAGTTGTTTCTTTTTTCCCTAGCCAACTATCACTACCCCCACCCCCCACCCCCTACCCCAGCACAGTGCTAACACTGACGTACTGTCTGTGGACAAATGACGATTCTCAGAATCTTTAGTCAAGTTACCACCATCCCCCCTTGCCTTGGTCATTCATAATAGGTGTGTGCATATGTTTGTGTTTCTGTACAGAACTGTGGGGTGTGTATGTGTATACGCACACGCACCTTTAGTATAATAGCTGTTTGATTAGCAGGGTTGAAGTGGCTTTTAATTACTTTGTGGGCATTATTGAACACGTTTTTAAAAACTATCTGGACCTTAACCATGCCACGCTTGGTTGACTAATTTATTTTGAGCATTAAAATTTTTCTGCTCCTGTTAATTTAGACATTATCACAATTCTTTATTACTGACTTAGAAAAGATATACTTAAGCTTCTGAGAAATGTGATTTCTTGGCAGATATTTCTTTGAGTCAAATGTCTGAAACTGAATGGAAGTATATCCCAATTTTAAATTACTAATTGTAGAAAGAACATTGTTTTTAAACAATTTTAAACACATAAAACACTTCAAGATCTTTAGGACTTTAAAGCACATTTGAAATTATTTTTAGTAAGATTTTAGTAAGAATTTTGTTTTTTCAATACATGTTGAATTCTGTTTTTTTAATTAAAAGAAAACACAAAGCTTAGATTTCAGAAAGAGGGAGGGAGACTAGCTGGTGGTTCCAGAGTGTGCTGCTGTTAATTGTTTAATTAACAAAGGGGAAAAATGTATATAAACAGATATAAAAGTTACCATAAATTCCATGAACTTAAATCTGTGATTCATTGCCTTAAAACTTTCTCTCTTAGAATTTCCATACCGCATGCCAAACCAGTAAAATGGCTTTTAAAAATGTATAGTAGACCAATGTCAGTTTGTATAAAAGTACCAAGTGAAAATATTTATTACATGCATTGGAAAAAAAAAAATTGTTTACCTATTGAATGTTACCTGTTTATGTAGAGCTCTTTAGATGTAATAAAAGAAAAACCTTCAGTTAATTTGTCTTCTGTAAAGTACACTGCTGGGTATGCAAGGGGACAGTCCCTATGAGAAAAAGTGACAATGCTCTGTGCTTCCAGAGCCCCTTTGATGCAGAGATTTCAAAGCATGACAAGTAACTTATTCTCTTGCAACATGCTTTGAGGTAAGTAATGAATATACAGCTGTCATTCCCCTTTCTTACTGAAATATGGCCAGCTTTGTAATGAACCACAGCATTGGTTTAGTTTTAAATCTGTTTAATTAATTTGCAATTTGACTGTTAAGAACACTGTGGCCTTTTTTGCAGCCATACTAGGCACTGGGTAAACCAGTTTCAGGAATGAGCATGAAACCCAGGCCTGGGATCCTTGTCAGAGCCTAATCTGGGGTGTATTCTTAAATTAGAACACATCCCAGGATCTTGGAATCCTACCCACTGAACACCCTTAAAACACGGAGTCAGTGGACATGAGCCCCAGGTTCAAAAGGCCACTACACACCACTCAGGTGTCTTTGGCAAGCTATACTTCAGATTCCTGTTAGACAAATGAGATTATAAAATTTGCCTGGAAGCTATATGAGTACCACCCAGTAGCATGTAAAGGCCAAGCTTTGAGGCACTGGACCCTCATTTACTATTATAGCCCAGAACTTCCTTTTCCTGTCCATCTAAATCCCAGGTATCTACTGTCTAATCCTTGATATTCCAGGTTGGCTATGCAGGACTAACTTCCTCATGTCCATGAGGGGTTAACAGTCGATGTGGAGCTTGACCCTTGAGCCTTGCCTGAAAGTGAAATATAGCAGTTCTCCATGGTCTGCCAGCATCTAACCAGCCTCAGATGAATTTACCATGAAGGTAATGAAGTTTAAGCATGAGAACCCCTCACTTGCTCTGACCTCTTCCAGGGTCCTGGGAGCAGCCCAAAGTAATTCTGTATTTCTCTTGTATTATTTTGGAAGGCTGCCGAATCATATAACCCTCAGATCCCACAAAACCTGGATCTGCCCTTGTATCTTATGAACCTAAGATCCCCAGCTAGACAATCACAAGTTCACCTCTGTCTGCCCCCATATAACCCTTCTCTCCAGCTCCTAGGAATTCCTGATCATTTAATGGGCAGTTACACTGTTGGGGAAACAAAAGTGACTCTCCTTTCTCAGGACCTCCCATTTGGTCTGAAGCCACGCATCCTTACTGAGATAGTTAAACCGACTGTGACTGCTTTGTCACCTGAAGTTTCCCTTGTGCGTTGGCCTCAAACTTGTGTCCTGTGTAAACCTCCCCAGAGACACACCTCCCTCTTAATTTGGTTTTCTTATGCTTTCGCTACTAAGGCACCATTAGAAAAAGCCACAGCCCAGAGAGCCCAATTTTGATACATATAAGGATGAAAATCTCTGTACTTTGAGTTCTGCGCCCGGCTCCCCCCTCAACATGCTGATGTGTGACTCCAGCCCTTTTTAGGGCTGTGCTGACTCTAGCAATGGATCCAAAACTTTGATGAGTACACAGGCAGTACCAGCCTGGCACCTCCCGGCTATGTAACTAACTTAAAAAGCCACTTATGCTAGAAAAGCTCCCGGCAGGACCAGTAAGAACCCCTAGAACAGTTTTGCAGGGCTCTTGCTGTGTCACGGCTGTGGTCTGTTCCATCACCTTACTACTTTGCAGTAGTCCTGAGGAAACAGTTTGAAGCCATCATCAGTTTGACCCACTTAATTAAACCCATCCTAGTCCCATGACCCTCTCTGATAATGGGCCTGGGCCAGGGAAGAACTCAAAATTCTGACAGAAGCATCATGCTAAGTCTTCTCAAGCTCTGCAAGGCCGCAGTGCATGCAGCTCGTCACACCCGGTTTCCTTTGGTCTGGGCTGTAGTCAGATCCTTCTTCCCAACGTTTAGCTCATGCTGCCTGTTCTAACCTCTTGTATATTCTGCTTATGAATGAATATCCAGGACTACATTAGGAATGTGAATTTATACATGACCCCATGGTGCTGCAAGAAATGTTGCCATAGTTTGTCTGAGCTCTCTGCTTGTTGCTGTTTCTCAGCTAGCTTTATCTTGGGAATGTGGAAGATGGTTCCAGCACCCAAATACAGAATATTAGTCTTCCTGCAAATTGCCCTTTTTAGGAGAAGCACAATCATGGCAACCCAGGATTACACAGTGTTCTGCACTTTGCAAAGACAAAGCTCATTCTCAACAGGCTCCGTGAGGTAAGAAGCAAGAATCCACTTTAGTGAGGATCCTAAGGCTTTGAGGGGTGAAATGATTTGCCCAAAATCACCTGTCTTGGAAATGGCAGTGTCAGGACTAGACCCCTGGCCCATCTCTAAACCACAGGCTGTAAAGGGCTAGACTAATGGTAGTTGTTAAAACAGTAAAAAATTTTATTAAAGACATGCTAATCCTGTAGCTGGAATCATTTTGTTTCCTTGTTGTCCTCTTGCTGTGGTTAGGTCTGTCATCTTGCTGTGTTGGCCATCTCCTGCAAGTGAAAGGAACACTCTTCTTTTCAAAAACCCATCAGTCTGAGTGTTCAGGCCCAGGGGAGGCTCTCTTGCCTTCTCGTTCAGTCGTCCCTCACAGGAGTGGTGATCTTCTGGATGAGCTCGTCATACTTCACTTTGCCATTTGGTTCGATACCTGCTTCCCTGAAGAGATCCTCCACTGCAATAAATCACAGTAATTTTTCAGTGTGGCTTCAGTGTCACATGATAAGGCATCCAGTTGGGGGTTGAGCCTCCCGAGGTCTCCCCTGAGCCTCCAGCTGACTGCTTCCATAGGTGAGGAAGTAATCCAGTGAACAGAAAAGGACAACCCACTCCCTCCCAGTTGGAGACCATGGAATCAATTCTGAGTTCATCAGGCTTTCTGCAGGGGCCAGGATAGGGGGTGTGCGGGTAAGGATTCAGTCAGTGAAACCACCTTGTACTTTTTTTTTTCCTTCAGAAAATATCTGGCTCCTGTGCCAGTACTTCCAGAAAGCGTTGGCATGGATTTTACCTTCTACCGCCTACCCTCTCAGACACCCTCCATAACAGACACCCCTGCAGCTCCATCCTGGGCCCCCTAGCCCAGACTATGGCCTGACAGCCCCCCACCCCAAGAGGGGGCTTGGTGACAAATGGTATCTGCCACTATCACCTCTTTCTGAAAGTGTTTTGGAGGTGGGATAGTACAAGAGAAATTCAACTGTGTCTAAGCTCAAAGCCTACAAAAACTGCCATTGTTCTCTAATATTGCTCAGAAAAAGAAAGAAACCTACATTTGCTGGTTCTGGATTCCTGGGATAAAATACAAGCTTGTCCCAGGAGCTGACAGGAAGAGCCAGTTCAGTTGACACTTCTCAATGGTGGCTTCTCAGGACCCGCCTCACCCTCTTAAAAAGCGCTCTCACTCTATGTCAACTCTGCCAGCCCCAGACAGCCCCAACACAACTCTGGACAGTGAGAAAGTATCACCTGTGACTTGCTGCTTAAGCATCCTCCTCAAAATTATAATTGCTATGCACTGTGCTTAAGCTGATAGTACTTCTGAGTATTTTTAGAACATTGAGCCTGTAATTTATTTCATGGAGAAGCTTCTACCCATCAACCACTTGGTTAAAACTGTCCCAATGGACAGGTCCAGTACCAATCACTGCAGCCTCCAGCTGTCCAGAAGAGGGGCAGCTGGAGTCTGATGGTGCCTTCTGGTTAGAACAGCACAGGGAACCAGTTTGCAAAAGAGGCCTCCCCCACAGCCATCTCAGCTGCTCCAAGGATGCTTCTGCAGTAAACCAACTTTTCTTTCTATCACTGAAGGTAAAGGAGTCACCTTTCCTATCTCCCATAGCCAGGGGAAAAGGACATCAGTCTCTGGCAGACACTGCCAGTTTTTTGAAATGTTTCTTTACTGGTTAAACAAATGAGAGAGAGGTTTGAGTTTGGGGACCATGGTATTGTTTTAGGCAGATCATTAACCGCAAGAACGAAGGCCCCTGCTGGCCTCTCTGCTAACACTCCACCTGATCCGTAAAAGGCCGAGTAGTGTCCTCGGAGCCCGGGAGGGGTGCACAGCCTGTGATTCCCTGTTCACGTTGAAGCAGCCACAGTGAAAGATGGGCTGGTGATGGCCACCAGCCTGGAGGAGCGGGGGAAGCGCCATCTGCCTTCTCCAGCGCTATTTTTACTTGCTTTGCACTGTGCCTTGTGACTGCAGATGAAATCGCGGCAGGCTGCTTTACGAAGGTTCGCTCCTGCAGGGTCCTGAGGAATTGCCTGTTGTAACCTCACTTCCCAACAAGGACTGAGGAGGGTGAGAGAGGGTGAGAAACTCACCTGAGTTCCCCCAGAATGAGGGGGAGCCGGGATTCAAGTCTGTTGTGATTTTACCAAAGGCTAAAGGCCCGTCATTACTGGAGCGACCCACTGTGTCCTCCTGCCCCAATCACAGGTGAGTCCAGCGGCCTACCTAGAAATTGCAGCCTCAGGGGTTGGTGGGTGTGGACTCTGGTGGCAGCCTGGCATGGCTGCTGTGGCTGGACTCGGGCCTGTCAGCCGGCTGGGAGGACATCTGCAAAGGGCTCAGCATCAGGGTCACCCTCACTATGAACATCAGGCTTTCCTGGAAGGCCCAAGCCCCTCATCTGGCTCTGAGGCAGGAAGACAGGGAAGGTAGACAGGACGTTCCTTCTGGAAGAGCTCAAAGCTGCCTGACTCATGAGAAAAGGGAGCAAAGTAACATCTCAATGTAGAAACTTGGCAGCAGCAGCAACTTCAGAAGACAGCTGTGGTGAGAGGAGAGAGCTTGAGCAAGGTCGGGGGGTGGGGGTCCCAGTGTCTTAAGAGCCCTGTAGCCAGCTCCTAGCTCTGCTCGTCACAGGCCACACACTGCACCTGTTTCTTTAATCGGTATGAGGGGGACACTAGTGATCCTAGAGGTGTCAATAGTCACTAAATGAAGGCCCACAGTGAAAGTTTTAAACAGAGTAATGCCCAAGTAGATCCTAAGTGGGTTTCCCTACTGTCCCTTCACCCTGGCTAGCTTCTGCCACTCACAGTTCCCTAGTTGTTTTCCAGGTTCCAGGCCAGAGTTCACCAAGCTTCGCATCTAGTCCTAACATTCAAATGTCTACATAACCCACGTGGCATGATTTGGACTTAGGTGCCCCCCCAACTCCTTGGTCACCTCCCACTGTTGGGAAATAGGGCCCCAGGCCATTACCTTCTTTGGGGGTGAGCTTCTCCCCCAGTTGCATGAGTCTTGACCGCAGTTCAGATGCCATGATGTAGCCTTTCTTCTCCTTGTCCGCCATCAACATGGCCAAAAGAATTTCCTTTTTTGGGTCCTCTTGCTTTATTTGCATATGCATGATGGTCAGGAAAGTAGAGAAATCCAGCTCTCCACTTCTGTCTAGGAAACCCCCAAACAGCTGAGTGAGCAAGGAGGAAAAGGCTTCTCTTGGGGATGTCAGCTGGCCTCCTGCCCAAGCCTTCAAGGCCAGCTCAAGAGCCACCTAATTCAGGAAGCACTGTGATGGTGGCTGTGTTCCTGGGGAAGAGGCTGCAGCCTGTCTTGCTGAGTTCCCACCATGGATATGCCTCATTTAATCTTCCCAACAACCCTCAGTGTCTGGATATCTCATTTTGCCCACTAAAGAGACAGAAGCTCAGAGCATAGTCAACTCAGAGCAGTGACAAGACCAGGATGACACACTGCTTCCTCTACCCCTTCTGGATGCTTCTCTCGTGCCCTGAACTGGAGGAAGTGCACCAACATGTCTATCCATGTCTATCCTCCCCCTTTGACAGTCGCTGCAACACAACTACAAAGACAGGTGGATGATGGGGCTCAAGCCTCGTTCACTTGCCCTTCCCTTCACTGCAGCCTCCACCCCAGCCCACAACCCTCCTCCAGGCATGCCTGGGGCCCTCAGCCCAGGCTGGGCTCCAGCTGCAGGAAATCGGAAGTGCCTGCCCCTGCCCACGGCTTCCTGTCTGAAGGAGACAGAAACCAAAGGAAACCAGCACGCTTTGAAGACGGAAGCAGGGGCTCTTGGTGGCTGAGCCCCCCGTCACCAGGCCTGGGGCCTTCAGAGGCCACCCCGAGCCCGGCCTCAGGACAGGCTCCCAGTGCTGCTGCAGTCGCCCTCCGATGGGGCCTGGGGGTAACCCCAGCAGAGAGTGGGAACCCGTCTGAGAGGTGGGGCAACGGAGGTCCAGATGGGCTGTTGATCAAGTGTCCTTGCAGGCCATCCCTTCCTCTTTCCTTCCTGAGTGTCCGGCTACCAATGCAAACAGCCATCCTGGCTTCTGATATTCCTCCCTCTTTTTTTCTTAAAAAAAAAAAAAAAGTTGCCACCACCAACAAAAAGCAAGCTGTTTTTGCTTGTAAAAGCAGTATATGTTTCCTTTGTCAAAAATAGAGGAAATGAGGAATGAAAAATCACCCATGATCACATCAGCAGAGGATAACTTGGTAACGTTTTGGGTGGGTTTTCCTCTACATTTTCTTGCTGTTTTGAAAAATTTGGGGGAGATGAGTGTTAGAAATGAGAATCTGGTTCCAATCTAATTCCACCATTGGCTTAAGGACTCAGAAGTTACCATCTGGGCTCTGAATCTTGATCTTTATCTGTAAAACTTGGATTAGGATAGTGCCTCCTTCATGGTGTTGCTGGGCTAAGCAGAGGACACACACTAAATAAAGGGACACTTCCATCAAGACAAGCTTGGGATCATTTAGCACTGTCTGGACTGCAGGTTTGTGACAACTGTGGTGAAATGTCTAGATCCCCCGGTCCTCTGGGAGGGGGCGTCACCTGTTGCTATGAGCACACCTGGCCAGGTGCCTCCAGACCCCCAGCCAGAGGGGTCTGGCTGACACTGACCCCTGAGACCTCTGAGCTGTTCACACCCGCCCGCCTGCCTGCGTCCCTGGGACAAGAGCTATAGGGCTCAGGGCCCACCCGCTCACCCAGCCGGGCCCACTCACCTATCCCGTGCGTCTGCAGGTGCCGCCGCGCCTCCCCAGGCGTCGGGCTGGCCCCCAGGCACCTCATCACCGTCAGGAGGTCGGCGGCTTTGATCTTCCCCCGCTGCTGCTTGTCGTATAGGGAGAAGCACTCCTTGTATTCTGCCACGGCCCAGAAGGGAGAGTCAGGGGCGCTTTTCCACCCGCCCCCCACTTCTCCGTCCTCTCCCCCTTTCTGCCCCTCCCCTTCCTCTCGCCTGCCCCCCACTCCTCCCCTCCTAGAGTGGCCAGGCCCAGCAAAAAAAAAAAAACTCCGGGGCTGTCAAGGTAAATTGAATTTCAGGTAAACCTCGGTCCATGAGGTCACAGAGAGTCGGACAGGACTTAGCAACTGAACAACATGCTTACAAAGGTATTTGTTGTTTATCTGAAATGTATGTTTAACTGCATTTCATCTGTCAACCCCATCCCCTTTCCCTCCTGACCTCCCTCCTGCCTCCTTCCTCCCTGCTCCTGTCCTCAGTTGACTAAAACCACAGTGGTAAAGAACCTGCCTGCCAATGCAGCAGACATAGACGTGGATTCCATCCCTAGGTTGGGAGGAGCCCCTGGAGAAGGGAATGGCAACCCACTCCAGTATCCTTGCCTGGAGAGTCCCATGGACGGAGAAGCCTGGCGGACTACAGTCCATGGGGTGGTGCAGAGTTGGATGTGACTGAAGCGACAGCACACACAGGAGAACCTGCTCTCTCTCTCTTTCCAGGGCCGGCCCAGGGAGACCAGGAGCCCACAGCAGGGCACCAGAGTCCCAGGTGTTGTAAGTTGTAGCAAACTACAACTTACGTGGGAAACAGGATCATGCCTTGGGGCTTGCTGGAGGACCAGAAATCCCCTCTGGGAAGGCCTGGCAGAGAGGCCATCATATGTGGTGACAGATATCACAACTGGGAGTTTTGAGTCCACTGCTGCAGCCGCCGTCTCCGGGCTGCTGAACTCTCAAGCCGCACTCTCACTCAGGCCCTGGCCCCACTCAAGACTTCAACAGGCAGTGCCCGAAGTCCTCCCAGCTCTACGGAGATCTTCCTTACTGCTCTCCTCGCACTCTCTCCCCCTTCTGGAGGCGAAGTGGCCTGCAGATACACAGCTCCCCAGCCCCACCTGCATCTCCCCTGACACCCAGCCCTGGAGCCATGGAGAGCCCAGCCAGGAGCTTGGGAAGGTAAGGGGCCCTTACAGAGGCCCTGACCACGGAGTGGGGATGGGGGTGGAACTGGCCAAAACTCCTGTCTTATGCAGCCCCCGGGACCCATGGGTAGAGCTCCAGCTTGAGCCCCGATGGGAGCATGTGGGGCCCTGCATTGTTCCTAGCACCCTGCTCTTCTCCCACTTCCCACAGCCAGCTGGTTCCTCAGAGGCCTGGACCAGCAGCTCCTGAGCAGATAGTAACAAAACCAGCCAAAGCAGCTCCCACTACTAGCACTTTCCCCCAGGCCCTGTGTCATCTGCACTGTGGCCCTGTGGGGAGGGACCCTGGTTGTTCCCATGCTGCAGATGGAGTGAAGAAGGCTGAAGCAGCCAAGGGCTCCTGGCAGCGGGGGCAGTGGGCAGCCTGCTCTGCCCAGGAGGCCTCCCTGGAGCTCCACTTCCAAGCAGAAGCCCCCAGAGGGCCGGAGAGCGGGAGAGGCGGCCGAAGGACGCCCAAGCCTGGGGCCCCTCAAGCTGCCTCATTAAGGCCCCTCCCAGCAGCCTAGGATTTCAGGGCCCTTGCTAATCAAAGGCAGGCCAGGCAGTGGGGTTTAGGGACAATTATCTGCTTTGATGCCTGTGGAGAGGTTCAGAACTTTCCAGAGCCTGAGCTTTGGAGGGGCAGACCACCAACAGGACCTGGTAGCAGGAGCCAGAGTGGCCCAGGGAAGCAGGGCTTAATTGGTTCCTGTAAAACCTGATTCCCCCTAAGAGGGCCCGGGCCACTGGGGATAGGGACAAGGGCTGCCCTGCACGCCGGGCTTCAACTCAGCCCCCCCGCCTCCCTCCACGGGACCTGTCTTGGCCACCCCATTTACCTTCTGTCTGGGTTTGCCTCTGCCCAAGGGATGGGCCCACTACCTTCCTGAGACCCCATCCTGTGACAGTTGACCACCTTCCGACAGTAGCCGGGTGGGGACATCACACTCGGGACCCAGAATGGACCAGACTCCACAGAGGGCAAACTACCTCCCTCCATACTCGGCTCTTGGGGGCCCATGGCCCCTGGTATCAGGAGGGCTAGATTCAATTCGGGGCCCATCTCCTCCCCAGTTACCTAAAATGTGTTCTGTCTTCCTGCCTTTAAAGATCTGGGGGGTCCTCTGAACTTGGCGGCCGGCCCTGAAACAGTAGGGCTCTTCTCTTTCTACTCCTGCCCCCCTCCACGACCTCTGTACCTCCTCCCTCCCTGCCCTGCCCTCCACCTGACAGACCTGCCTGCACTCCAACATCCTGTTTACTTTGCGCCTTTCCTCTGTGGCCCCCCTCCCGCCAAGGTGAACCCTGTGAGCACAAGGATGTGGGGCTCCTCTGTGCACCGCTGTATTTTTAATCCCTAGAACAGGACTGGCACAAAAAAAGGGCTCATAATTGTTGAATGAAAGAACACATTGGGTTAAACAAACTGGATTAAAATCCCCTTTAAGTTTTCCCTTCGAAAATGCAAATGCCCCACGGCAAGAAAGAATCCTCCCCAGACCCAGGATAACACCAGCTGTGCTGGGAATGGAACAGCCGACTCTGATGACATCTGTACGTGGTGTAGACTTAAGGATGTATAGCATACAACTTACAAGTAATAAAAACACTGATTATAAATCCCGTCTAGCCAATTGATTATCACAAGTGAATTTTTGCCAAGCTCTTGTATCCATTGCCAACCTACAGTTTGGATTTAACCATAAGTGAGGTAAGCTGCAGGCCAAGGAACTATTTTCCCAATGACTACGCTGTCATTACATCTGATGAGTGATCTACTATTAAACTATTCCTCACCTTTGCACAAATTACATCCATTAAACTGAAACCTTTCAAATCTTCAGCACTACTAATTGCAACAGAGCTATCTTTTTAAAACTTTTGTATAGACGAAGGGACTGGGACATTCTTTCATCTTCCTTTATTTAACAATGGTTCACAAAATTCCTAAAAGTGCACCACGCAGCTCACGCTAGCAGAGCAAGCTGGCCCCGGATGTCATCTGGGTGACATCCAGGCCCAGAGCCAGATGCGTGGCCACCATCTGCTCTGTCTCTTGCTCACAGCAGCCTGATGAGGCAGTGTCATTACTTCCACTTCACAGATGCGACCACTGAGGCTCAGAGGTGACTGGAGCCCAGGCCCACTGCCTCCAAGGTCCCTGGTCTTCCCACTCAGTCAGTCTTCCTTTCCTGGACGTTTGTGGTCACTTTCTTTGTGTCAGACTTTAGGATACAAAGGGAAACTTACCTTCTTCCCTTCTGGGAGATTCAGAAGCCCCAGAGGGAGGGTCAGTGAGCCCCGGCACCAGGTTTGATGGGGGGACGCTGACAGCTGGATTCCAGCCCCTAGACTCATCAAGTCTTGTCTTAAGACCTAGGTAGGAGAGGCCCCTCTCCTGGGCCTTGGGTTTTAAAAGTCCCTGCTCTGGCCCCCCTTGAGGGGTAAGGATATGAAGGGGTCTATGGGGAGATGCCTGCAACCCACCTACCCTCTCTCCCTTATAGACGCTGCTGGTCCCCAGAGTTCTGCACGTCCTGCCCAGGTAACCCACCCTCAGTTCAGCTCCCTGCTTCAGCTCAGCCGAGCCTCCCCAGCCGGGTCTGGCCCCGGGGTTCTGTGTAACCCAACTCTGTTGGCTTGGCCTCGCGGAAACAGAACCAGGCACTGTGGGAAACTGAAGCTGCCTGGGGGCAGCAGGTTTGGGGATTCAAGGAATAAAGTGCTCCAGATGCCAACACTAGGCTTGCTGTCAGGGCAGAGGGACCTCCGAGACCACCTCCACTGGCCTTCACCCTTTACAAATGGGGAGACTGAGGCCCACAGCCTAAACAAAGCACCCTTTCTGAGAGCACAGCCCTGGGCCCTGTTCTCTTTCTCAGCCAGTTACAAAGCCCCCTTCTCAGGCGGGGCCCTCAGCCACAACCAGCTGGTGTCTCTCTGAGCAGCCCCTCTCCCCACCTCTCCCAACTATCAAGTTCTGGAGGAGAACCGAGTGTGCTCCCTCTCCTATCAGGCCCTCTCGTAAATCACACTGACCAGTGTACTAGCGACAGTTCTTACCTCCAAGCCTTATCCCCCGCCCCTCCACCAGGCCCTTCCTGGTAGCAGTCAGCCCCTGGCTCGTGGGTGGGCCCAGCTCTCCCACCAACAAAACATGAGCAGAGCAAATTGCCTAATGAGACCCATATTTTGCTGTGAGTTGCTAATGAAAGAACAAACCAAACCTACCATTAATTTGGTCCTGGGAAAGAAACTTGGCCTGCAGCAGAGAGAGGAGAACAGTCAGGAAGGGACCCCATGAAAGCCCCCTGCCTCCCCAGCCCAGGGCAGCCTGGCCAGGCCACACAGATCCTCACTCACCATCTCGGGGCCTCCAGCTGCCACCCGTGGGCTCGCTGCTCCCAGAACTGCCTTCCTGTTCCCCTTCTTCCCGGCTTCAAGTCGAAAGTCCGCCCGGCCGGGTGGAGGCCCCGGTAATAAATCCACGGCTGCCACGGAGACCAGGCCCGCCGCCAGGGGTCAGATTCCGGCTTCCTGTGCATGGTGGATGCCTGGCTGTGGGGCGGTGGCAGCCTGGATTTTGAGAGATGGGAGCTGCTCGAGGGTTTCCCCGGCACTCGGTCCTGCACCAGGAAGCTGATGGCCTGTAGTCAGAGGACAAAGGCCGCTGTTCCTTCCTGGGAGCCCTCCGTGGACACTAAGAAGCGGTCACCCAGAGAGGGGGTCGCTGGGTCCCCCTGGGCCTGCCTTCAGGGGTATTTCTGAGGATTGTGCTAGGGGCTAAATAGTGTCCTCCTGGGTGTCGGGCACCTTGCACACCCCCTTTAGACTCATCACACACCACCTCATTAGTTCAGTTCAGTCGCTCAGTTGTGTCCAACTCTTTGCGACCCCATGAACCGCAGCACACCAGGCCTCCCTGTCCATCACCAGCTCCCGGAGTTTACCCAAACTCATGTCCATTGAGTTGGTGATGCTATCCAACCATCTCATCCTCTGTCGTCCCCTTCTCCTCTTGCCCTCAATCTTTCCCAGCATCAGGGTCTCTTCAAATGAGTCAGCTCTTCGTATCAGGTGGCCAAAGTATTGGAGTTTCAGCTTCAGCATCAATTCCTTCAGTTGAACACCATCAGTTCCTTCCAATGAACACCCAGGACTGATCTCCTTTAGGATGGACTGGTTGGATCTCCTTGCAGTCCAAGGGACTCTCAAGTCTTCTCCAACACCACAGTTCAAAAGCATCAATTCTTCGGCGCTCAGCTTTCTTCACAGTCCAAGTCTCACATCCCTACATGACTACTGAAAAAACCATAGCCTTGACTAGATGGACCTTTGTTAACAGAGCAATGTCTCTGCTTTTTAATATGGGAGGAAAACTCGCGTGACACCACAGCCCAGTGACAGCCACCTCCTCCGCCAGAGCCTTGGATGCCGCACACAGGAGAGAAAAGCGGCCCCCTGAGGAAGACCTCGGTGCCCATTCCACAGCTCTGTGCCTCAGCATCCAGGCCTTATGTTGAGAGTCAATGGCCAGATGGCCAGTTTTCAGCTTGAGTCAGTTCCCTCCCCTCCTTCTGGGGGTGTGGTAGGTGCCCATGCTGGGGTCTCTGGCCCCACCACAACCCCTGGCAACCCAGGGGACTCAGAGGGAGACCTCTTAAATGACTTTCCTGGTCAGGAAGGCTCCTTTTCTTCCTTCCCCTCCACTCCCCACTGTAGCTCCCAGCCCTTCCAGCAGAAGCTGCTGACTCCCATTCCTCAGCGGTTTGTCCCCAGCCCACCCCTCCCCTCACCCACTGAGGAAGTGAAGGGGGCGTGGAGCTGCAGTGCTGGGCACAGCTGGGTCCCCCTTCTTCTCCCAGATCCCTGCTGTATCCCATGCCCACAGTTGGTGGCTGCCCTGCCTCTGGGGCTCTGACTCCAGGGCCCACCCCCCCGTCAGGACCGGCAGGTGCGGCCACACAGGTTGTGCGCTCCACCAGGGCTCCTGGTCTGGGGACCAGCGGGTCCTGCAAAGGGCTGCGTGTGCAGAGGGACATGTTGGGAACTTGTGGAAGTCACATGGATTGGGTGGGGGGTCTTTGTCCCCTGACCATTTCCTTGTGAAAGGTTCTCTTTTCCTCTACTTCACACCCATTTCGAGACCCAGAGAGTTTTAGCTGGAGGTTTCTGACTCCTCCCAGTTGGGGCTGAGAAGAGGGAAGGCTGCTGGGAGCAGGAGAGGAGGGAGCTCCTATCAGCCTTACAGGAAGAAGAGGAGACATCAGGTGGGGCCTTGGAAGGGCCAGGTCAAGGGCTCACTTAGAATCACCCTGTATTTGGAAAGGGGCTCCTGGGGGAGACATGACCACTGGGCTATACCCCCAAGGTCCTGCAAGCCTTGTAGTAGCCCAGCCTCGAGACAAAAGAGCCCAGACACACAGACAACAACTTATCACATGGGGGAATCTTATGTATCTGAAGCCACATCCTGGAGCAACACCCCACTGTGGACGGCAGACGGCAGGCAGGACACGGCAGGGCCTTCTGCTACTCTGGAGGAGGCGGCGGCTACCAGTTATAGAGCACTGACTTCAGATGGGCTCATCAGTTACCAGGGAAACCAGCTGGGGGTACGGGCAAGCGTGCGGACAGTCACTGATAAAGGCCTATGATTAAGAGGATTGGATGGTCCTGTGAGTGAAGTAGGGACTGGTGGAGCAGGAGATACACAGAGAGCAAGTGAAGAGCCATCCTGAGTGGCCTGGCCATACATGCCCACATATCTGGTGTGACTCTTATAATCCTGGCCCTGCCCCTCTTCTGAGATATTCCTGGGGTCAGGTGTGCAGAAGGGCATTGCAACCAGATATCACAAATGTAATTACAGATTGTTGTTACTGCTGTTTAGTCTCTAAGTTGTTTTCGATTCTTCTGCAACCCCATGATAACAGTAGCTGGAAGAATACCAAGAGTTCCCAGGTGGTGTGGTGGTAAAGAATCTGCCTGCCAACACAGAAGACACAAGAGACATCGGTTCGATCCTTGGGTCGGTAAGATTCCCTGAAGTAGGAAGTGGCTACCTATTCCAATATTCTTGCCTGGGAAATCCAATGGACAGAGAAGCCTGGCGGGCCACAGTCTATGGGGTCGCAAAGAGTTGGACATGACTGAGCACACACAGGTAATCAAGAGTAAGACACAAAGTGTGCTAAAGAGAGTTAATTCCCCAAGAGGTGGACCAGCTTGGGCTGAATTTTTCGTGGCAGTCCACAGGAGGGAGACCCTGCAGTCAGACCTACCAGTGGTGAGGCCGGGACTTCCCAGGTGGCTCAATGGTGGGACGTCTACCTGCCAATGCACAGGACAGGAGTTTGATCCCAGGTCCCGGAAGATCCCACATGTCTCGGAGCAACTAAGCCCCTGCACCATGACTACTGCAGCCTGCACGTTCCAGGGCCTGAGTCACCAGCGATTAGAGCCTGGGCTGCAGCTGGTGCAACCCGTGTGCCTAGAGCCTGTGCTCCACGAGAGAAGCCACTGCAGCGGGAAGCCCGCGCTCTGCAACTAGAGTCGCCCTCACGCTCCACGACTAGGGAAAACCCGCGCGCAACAACCAAGACAGCGCAGCCATGAACACATAAATAAACTGGTGAGGCCACCACTGTCACCTGGTCCCCAGATCCCCTCTGCTCAGGCTAGGGAAGAAACGTAAGAGGCTTAACGGGCACAGTACAGAGAGATCGTGGCCATGAAGCAACACACAAGCAGTGACAGCATTCTGAGATCACACCACCCCAGCCTGCGGTCGGCGTCCCAGCCTGCAGTCCCCACAGCTGGCGCCGGAACCTGGAGAGGGGGTCTAACAGACCCTAGGGGTCATAGAATGGTGACTTTCTCCAGTAGAGACCCGGACGAGTGACCTCAGTAGCGGTCTCAGATGGGGCCGAGGGGAGGACAGCTGAAGTCTGTAAGACCCTTTCTAATCCTATTCCCCACGAAGCGGCAAACCCACACCACCAGAAACTTACCTGCCAGTCCCAGGCCATGTTATACCGTGTTCCCCTGGGAGTAGGTCCTGTGGTCAGGACAAAAACAGTTGGACTTGGATGGTGCCGACTGGTTGCTTTGGGGTTACCATGGCATAGTCTCTGGGTTGAATGCTCCTGGCATATTCAGTTATAATGTGGGAGGCTTGAGTTAGCCTCCTAGTTCACATGTCAGAGAGTGGATTTCCTGTCTCACTTGCTGGTTAAGTAAGTAGTCCATCCGTCCTTCCGCTTAGCCCGGCAGCAAGGGAGGAGGGTTGTAGGGCAGGTGGAAATGCCAGTGTCTATGTCATCTTTTATAGGCCAGCTCCTGATTCTCAAGGCCCATAAAGTGGTTTCCTAGGTCACTATTGCAGCCCTTTCCCCATAGGGGGCGTGCAGCTACCAGCACGCCCTCTGGTGGTTTCCTCGGGATTTATCCAGATGCTGTTACAGGCCAGTCACTGATGTCCACCAGCGTGATCACCCCAGACCCACCTATCCATGTGCCTGTATTTCTTGGGAAACATTTTCAGGAAACTTCCCAAAGAGATCTCGGTCAAGAGGGACATGAATCTCCAACGCTCCAATGATTTACTGTGATATCTTTCCCATTCTAAATATTCTTTCATATCTAATTTTTATTCACTTTAAGTTTTCTTATCAAGCACACTCAAAACTGTGTAAGCCTCAGACCCCACAATCAGATCTGTGCCCACTTAGGTGATATCCATTAAGTCCTTGTATGGAGAACGGGCCTGGGACAGGCTTTGGAGGAAACATGGAATCAACGTAGGGGAGAACTGAGGTTACTGGTAAGGTGGGGGGCCTTGTGCTTTGAGAGGCCAAGGCTGGAGCTGGCTTACTGAACTAAGATTGTGCAGACTGTGAACTGCTAAGTGAGGGGGGGCACAAGCCACCCACACTGGGGGCAGCAGACAGCGCCCTCAGCATCCAGCTCCCACTCTGGGGAAGTGAAACCCATGGGGTCCTTTTGATTGAAGGCAGTTGGGCTTCCCTGCCAATGCAGGAGACGTAAGAGATGCGGGTTCAATCTCTGGGTCAGGAAGATCGCCTGGAGGACCCCTTGGAGAAGGAAATGGCTACCCACTCCAGTATTCTTGCCTGGAAAATCCCATGGACAGAAGAGCCTGACAGGCTACAGCCCATGGGGTCGCAGAGTAGGATACAACTTAGCAACTAAACAAGTTTCAATACATCGCCACCAAGGAAGTGAAATCACAAAATTCATTGTTTCAGGTCCCAGAAGCCAGGGGGCCCAACTAGCCAGAAGGGCCGTCCTCATCCCAGACCCTGAGCAGGAGCTATTGAGCAGGACAGCAGGCATCTGTTACTCCCAAGGCGGTGGGGGCGGATGTCACTAACTTCTCATGGGTGTAAAAGATGCCTGGGAGCAAAGCAGGTCACGTGACTTGCCCAAGGCTAAGTGCCAGCCTCCCACAAACCGCCCCCCCCTCTCCTCCCCCCAAAGGACACCCTCTCTGCTTCAGTTTCCTGAAGGCGCTAGCAGCACAGCTTGGGGGCTCCATCTGCAGACGCCCTCTGCCGGCCCCACCCCCGTGACTCTCAGCCTCCTCTGAAGAGACCTGGGACCTAGAGGAAGCCCTTCTTGCTGGTGACCCCCCAAACTCAGCATCATACTAAGTAGCATAGCCAGCCAGTGGGCAGTGGCAGCACCTGCTTCCAGCCGGGCAGGGCTGAGCAGGCCCTTGGGGTCAGCCCAGGGCTCCTGCCAGGCCCCAGACCGGCCACTCCCTCCCCTGCTCCAGGGACCCTCCTCCTCCGGCCTCCCAAATTCACACCCCAAGGAAGCAGCAGCAGCCAGTGGGGCTTGGCTCCACACCGCCTTTATTCACACTGCTCACCCCTGATGCTGCCAGCAGACGGGGACTGACCAGGGCTGGGGGAACCCTGTGTGAAAGGAGGGTTTGAGGCAGAGTCCCTGAGAGCACAGGATTGGCGGGGAGGGCAGGGGAGGCAAGGCAGGCCCCCCGGAGCCCCTCGCACGCATGCAGGCCAGCAATGCTGGGAAGTGAGGCTGCATGCCTGCAGTCGCGGGAGGAGACCTGGCCCTGGTGCTGGGGAGGGGGCGTCTTGCCAGAACAAGGCCCCCTCTCGTGGGAGCAGGGCCGCGGGCGGCAGGTGTGGATTCAGGCTGAGACACGCTGACAAGAGCCCCACGATGTCCGCCTTAGTGAGTGCAAGTACCGGAGAACTCTGCCTTCAGCGGCCGCTCAGAAACCTAGGTCAGGTGAACCAAGCGGGTGCCACGATCCTGAAGGCAGGACACAGACCGAGTTCCCGGGAGAGGAAGGCGGCCGGGAACGACCACAGCCAGACCCCAGGATCAGGCCGGCGGTTGGGGGAGGGCTGGCTCTGGCTCCCCACCCCATGCAGCCTGCGGCGGGGTGAGGATCTGGGGTGCACATACCCCTCCCAGCGTTGAAGAAGGCAGGGACAAGGAGGAACCATCCACCCCTCCCAAGGCTGCCCTGAGAGGAGACGGCAACCAGCCCACAGCCGACTGGGGACCCGTCGGCCCGTCTGCTGCAACCGTGGCCCAGGGAAGGGGGTGCATTGCAAATGGTTACACAGCAAGTTCACGGAACGCCTGCGACCTGCCCTCAGGGTCAGGGGCGCTGAGGAGTCAGCCAGGTGGTAGGTGACAGGCCAAGTTCCCTCCTGACCTCTGCCCCACCCAGGCCTCTCCCCTGCGGCCACCAGAAGACGCCCAGGGAGAGACGGCCCTGAGCAGTGAGAGAGAAGGCCGGGCCCAGCTCCTGGTCTGGACACACTGCCTCAGACTATGTCCCATCATGAAAATCGAATGGAAACTTAACCAAAACAACTCAGCCTCACAGCGATGCTCTCCGTATGCGCACACACACACACAGACACACACACACAGACACACACACCCCTGTCCACAGGCACCAGGCATACTCACCCACGCTCTGAGCTGCAGGCTACACACATGTGGGTGCACGCACGCACACACACACTCAGACTCCTTCGCTGTCCATCCCCAGTGGGTGCGCACACTCCCCACGCTCACGCTCAACCATCCACCTCCCACCCACAGAGCACCAGGGGCCGCTGCTCAGGACTCAGTGTCGGCTGCTGACGTGCAGGGTGTAGAAGGCCCAGGGCTCGGGGACATAGATGACGCCCGGGTACTTCTTCCTGAGTACGGGGTCATTCCACAGCCAGGCGACCCAGAGCGCCACGAGCAGGAGGGTGAGGGCGAAGGAGGAGAAGAGGAAGAGGCCATTGCTGTCTAGGAAGAGGCGCTTGCGCTTCTGGTGCAGGACGAGGGCCAGCATGGCGAAGGAGGTGAAGATGAAGAGGATGAAGATCTGGCCCTCGGTGACCAGGTACCTGAGGAGGCAGGTGGGCAGTGAGGGGTGGGGGCGCCATGACAGCCCCCCCCTGCCCAGCGTCCTGCCCTCTACCCAGGCCCCAGGCCGCCCTCCCAGCTGGTCAGAAGAGCGCGTCGAGTGAGGGGTCCACTCTGAGCCACAGCCTGTACACAGCATTCGGATTTGGCTTCTAGAATTACTATTTTTCAAAAGGTCGAGTTTGTTGCCAATATTTAAATAACAGATTACCTGCCCACATGGAGTTCTGATATCCCTGCTAACGTTAGGTTTGTATTCCCACATGACAATAACTGATGAGGAGAAAGCGGCTGCTTAGAGACAGCATGGTGCTGCAGCTTGCCACAGCTCCCACCACTCCCTACTGCCTCACTTGATGCTCTTCTATCACCAGTTTAGCCCCTAAAGGCATCTGTGTTGGGGATGGAGTTTCGGTTTATGGGGTTGTCCTGACTATCTCCTTGAAGGCGGGACACGGCCTCCTCCCCAGGGCTCCCTGCAGCTCTCAGGGCAGAACCAGGCTCAGGCCAGGAATGCATAACGCCTGCTGCAGGGCTTCTCAGAGCTTATCCCGTCTACTCCCTTGCCTTGACAAGAGAACCACCATGCTGACCCATCCCACTCAAGCGACTGCACAGCCCTGCAACTGAGTGGCTGTGTCACCTTGGGGAACTTATGTGACATCTTGGAGCCTTTGTCTTCTTACTCATAAAGGGGGCATAAGCGGCCCTAGCTCTCAAGGTTACTGATGAGAACTGTGTACTTGGAAAGGCACACTGTTCATGAATGGCCCCCTGTAGCTGTCACTGCACTGACACACCCTGGGTAAGAATGGGCGGAGCTCACTTTTCACCTCTTTCCCTCCAGCTGTGGTTGTCACCCATTCCTTCTAATCCTGTCCTCAGAGGGCATATGGATTCACCCTCATGGATCCCCACTGCTGGTCAGGGGCAGCCCCTGGAGGTGGGGGAGAAGGCCCCAGGAGAGGAGGCCTTTTTCATTTGGCTGGAGGCTTCCCCCCAGAGAAGGGCTAGGACACCCACCCTTTCTAAGACACCCACAATCCCTGGGGAGCCTGACTCCAGAGCAGAAGTGACAGAGAAAAGGGAAGAGCCTGACTGAGGCCTGGTCCACTGGAATGGGAAGAGGAAACCAGGTGGGAAGCCCGGAGGCCATGGGATTCCCCTGGAAGTATCCTTGTCCTCTCTATGATGCTTCATAGTTTACGAGCCCCTCTCTCTGGGTTCTCACCATGTCCCAAAAGGGAGACAGCCTGGTATCATCCTCATCTCACAGGGGGCGAAATTCAGCCCCCCACCCCCAACCCCGCAGGTTCTTCAGGCCGCCCCGGGGCTTCCCTGATGGCTCAGAAGGTAAAGAATCCGCCCGCAACGCGGAAGACACAGGAGATGCAGGTTCGATCCCTGGGCTGGGAAAATCCCCTGGAGAAGGAAATGGCAGCCCACTCCAGTATTCCTGCCTGGGAGAATCCTGTGGACAGAGGAGCCTGGTGGGCTGCAGTCCCCAGGCTGGCAAAGAGCTGGAACGACTGAGCAACGAAGCACACACAGAAATTATGCCTCGACGTGGATTCTATGGGCCCTGAGGTTACACCCCGAGTGTAGAGAGGTCACACTCAGGCCTGCCTTCCTGGTCACGGAGCGGCCACCAGAAGGCACTGTCCCAGGCCCACTGAAGAGGAGGAAGCAGGGACCCCAGCGGGAGTCTCACCGGGGCTCACACGGCAGCTCCGAGGACGGGAGCACATTTTCCCTGACTGGACCACTAAGGGCCCCTCCCTGCCGCCCCAGGTCTTCCATCCACTCACCAGTAGTACAGGCCGCTGGGCACCACCAGGAGCAGGGCCGCCCCTGGCATTGAGCTCTCGGCTTCGGTGGGAGTGAAGCAGCCGCTGAAGTACATGAAGAGGATGAGGAAGAAGGGGACGTACCTGCAACAGGGAAGCCGGTGCTCAGCAGCTCGGGCCGCCCAGCCCGCCCACCCCGGCCGTCCTAGGACTGGCTGCCTGCACCACCCTCTGCGGTCTCACTTCACAGTTCACAGAAATCCTCCTCCCACTGTCCCGGCCTCCTCACTCACTCCCCGCATGTGTGCACGTCTCTCTCTGCCCCACGCACTCACCCCAAGACCAGCAGCCCCAGCCCCTCACTGCCCTGGAAAAGGGTGCACCCAGCAGGATGGAGGAGGGAGGGGCCCGAGGTCCCAGTTGGGGGGAAGAAAAAAAAAGAGGTGGTGGTGGGGAACAGCACGTGCCGGGGGTCTCCCAGGAGCTCTGTGACCCTCCTGGGGGGGGGGAGCGGGGGCCTCCTCCCACTGTCCCGGCCTCCTCACTCACTCCCCGCGTGTGTGCACGTCTCTCTCTGCCCCACGCACTCACCCCAAGACCAGCAGCCCCAGCCCCTCACTGCCCTGGAAAAGGGTGCACCCAGCAGGATGCTGGGAGGGGCCCGAGGTCCCAGTTGGGGGGAAGAAAAAAAAAGAGGTGGTGGTGGGGAACAGCACGTGCCGGGGGTCTCCCAGGAGCTCTGTGACGCTCCTTCACTCACACCCAGCCCCCAGCCTCACCCCCTTCCACGCACAGCTCACCCACGTACCTCCACACACACACACACGCTGCTTCCCCACGCGCCGTGCCAGCTCGCACAACACCCCTTTCTGTTCCCACCGCCACTCATCTCCTTCCCCACCTTCCCCTCACCGGCCCCCACACCCTCCCAATCCTCTGCTGCCCTTTCACCTTACACCTCTCCTCCTCCCTTCCCCAGCCTTCCATGGCAAGGGTCTCGTGGCACAGGCCAGGGAGAACAGGCAAGAGGCCTGTCCGTGCAAGGATTCCCTGACTTTCTAGTCCCTAAAACAGAACCCAGAAATACAATGTAGGGCCCGTGTGACAGGAGTGAGCCCACCTCACTCGGGAGTGGGGCCACCCACGTCCAGGGTTGGCTCTGGCACCAGCTGTCAGCCCGTGGGCAAAGCCCCTCCCACCGGCCCCAGCTCATCCCGGGATAAAGTGGGGTCTGGAACAGATGACTGCCCCGGCTCAGGCCGCATCTCCTGTGGCTGAGCCCACCTTTGTGAGGTTTCCTCCACTGTGGGGTGAAGGGGCGGGAGGAAGGAGCTCCCGGGGGGTTCGGAGGGGGGGGGCACTAGGAGCACCCCTACTCCCACCTCGCCCCTAGCCTGGTTCAGCCGGCCCTCCTCGGCTCCCTCCCTGCCTCCGGGTCCCCATCCTCACCCCCGGGGTGGGGGGAGTTGTTTACCAGCGCAGCAGCCTCGGCCCAGGGAGGACAGCCCCTCGCTGCCCTCTAGTGGCCGCCGCGGATACTGCGGGCTGGTGGGCACGGAAGGCGGCGAGGCTAGCGCCAGAGGAGCGACAGCGCCCCCCGCTGGGGAAGAGCACGCCATTCCAGCGGCTGGGCTGGACACTTCGAGACCCCGGGGCCCCTTGTTCAGCGTCACCAGGGCCAGGGGCCCCATCACTCACCACATGGAGTGGCCCAGGTACTCATCGTAGTAGTAGAGCAGCTCAAAGGAGTCGATCTGGGGGAGCAGAGAGGGTGGGGCTTCAGGAACGGTGTCGGGCCCACGCAGGCCCCAGGCTACCGTCCCCCCGACTGCCCATGCCTCCCTCAAATGCCCCCAGTCCCCCCCTACCGGGAGGAGGGGATCTGGGTTGGGGCATCCTAGCTTGGGGTTCGGGGGGTGGGGGGGCGACCTGCTCTATCTGGGGCGCCTGCGATGGGTTGGCAATGTCTTTGGCCTCCAGGACAGGCTGCACCGTGGAGGTGGGGGCTCACCAGCGTCTCTGGTTTGAGATTCTTGATGATGGGGTTCTCACGGACCGACAGGTGGTTCTGGTAGCCACTGAAGATCAGGCGGTGGTTCACTGAGTCGCCCACCAGGTGGATGCTGGCCCCCATGATGAAGGTGATGATGCTGACGTAGATCAGGGAGCGTGGCAAGGTGCGGGGGCACCGCTCGATGAGCTGAGGTCAGAGGGAGGCCCCACAGCATGACCCCCGATGCCATCACCACAGCAGATACCCTCTGCTTGCCCCCCCTCACACCCCGAGTGGGATGGATGCCACCAGCCAGAAAGCCCTTCTCACATGGGTTCCCTTTAGGAGAGTCAGTCCAGCCTCCATCATCTCACATGATCCTTGTGAACCCAGCAGGTGCTGGGGAAGAGCACCCTCTTTGGCCTAAGAGGAAACACACTCCCCAGGGCCAGCTCATTGCCAAGGTTAAACACACCCATATACCATGCTGGAGATGACAGCCAGGCCTTCTACACAGGCAGGCCAGGCCCTGACCTCCCACCACCCCTAGTTCTGCTTCTGGGTGGCAGGGCTGGCCTGTTGAGGCTGGGCTGCTCCCATTTCTGAGCAACTGAGCCACGCAAACAAAAATGTGGGGCAGGTGTTTCTGAAGCTAAGTTATTTAACTAAAGACCCCTCCAAATTCAGAGATTACACCTCCCCTACTCTGAAAGAAAGAAAGCTAAGTCACTCAGTCATGTCCGACTCTTTGTGACCCCATGGACTGTAGTCTACCAGGCTCCTCCGTCCACGGGATTTTCCAGGCAAGAATACTGGAGTGGGTTGCCATTTCCTTCTCCAGGAGATCTTCCTGACCCAGGGATTGAACATGGGTCTCCCACATTGCAGGCAGACGCTTTACCGTCTGAGCCACCAGGGGAGTTTGGAAATGTCTCTCTAAAAACAAAAGGACGGGGATAGTAAATGGCAGTAGTTTTAAGAGCCCCGACTTGGCAAAATGCAAAACCAGCAGAGCAGAGAGCTTTCCAGGAGACAGCTCTGTGTTCCCAGTGGCGTCTCAACGTCAGGGCTCTCAGTTGGGAGGAGAGAGTTCACCCTGCATTGCTGCCCTTCCTGCCTCCAGGCCCCCACCTGCCTGTCCAACTGGTCCCTGACCTCTCCCTGAGCAACCCAGCCACTCCTGCCTCACCCTCCCCAAACATGGCTCCTCAAGACCGGCCTTGTTTTCAGATACTTCTGCCTGAAGGTCTCTCCCAGTTCACCCCCAGGCACACCAGGGAGGCCCAAATCACACGCCCCTCCCTGGGGAAGCCTGCTCCATCCCTCGCAGGCAGAGGCAGCCTGCCTCCCCTGGGCCCTCAGGCCCTCCCCTCTGTCACAGACTTCTTCCCCCAGAGTCAGGCAGGAGACAGCCTGATTCAGGGCACTCCCAGGGCTCAGCAGCAGGGCAGAGAAAGGGTGGGAAGGGAGAGGCGGGGCCCTGGGATCCTACCTTGAGCAGGAGGAAGGGCGTGATGATGTTGTAGGCCATGTGGAAGTAGTCCCCCACGCTGGGCTTGTTGAGCGGAAACCACTCAAGAGGGAACACCAGCTGCGGAGCAAGTGGAGAGTGCAGTTCACCAGGCATGACCCACGCCGCCCTCAGAACTGCCTCTGCGCACACTGCGTTCTTTCTGTGATCTCCTGGAATCCTCTTGGCAGCACTGGGGTGAAGGTGTTCTCAGACAAACAGTCCCAGAGAAGGCAGACTTGTCCCCAGTCACACAGTAGGTACAAACCCAGTCTGACCCCGTGTCCCTCTCCCTGTGGATACTAAACAAAGGTCCCTGGGTACCAGCCTGGGAGTTGGAAGAATCTTTGGGACTCAATCGTGCCAAAAACTTTCTGGGTGACCCTGGGGCAAGTTCTTCTCTTCTTCATGCCTCAGTTTCCCCATCTGTAACACAAAGTGTGGCCCAGATGGTCTACATGGACCCTTACTGATCTGGCTCATTAGAATGATGTCAAGAAATCCTGACCACCCAGGTGTGGAAAACATCCTGTCCACTGAGCAGATGGACCACTTCCAAATCAGGTCGGAACTATACCTTACGAAACAAAGGAGAAAATATGTGAGTTCTACAAAGTAGCTTCAGTTCTTCCTTTCCTACCTTCCTGAGATAGGCCAGGGCCATTCCTCTGTCTGGAATTCCCTTGTTCTTCCTATTGGTCTACCCCAGTAAGTTCCAGCCTTGTCAGGGTTAGCGTGACAACACCTATGCAAGATCACTACACTTCCCAATACCTGCCCTGCCAAACTGTACCTCTAGAATCTACCAGTGAACACGGGTAATGATCATAAATTTCAATAAAAATTTAAATGTTTATTTCTCTTAATTAAAAAATGTGCTGGATAAAACCAACCTGCAGAAATAAATCTCCCAGGAGACAGGAATCTCAATCTCTTTCTTACTTGCTGTGTGGGCATCTCTATAGCTTTATCTACAGCAAGATATATAGCTGGCTGAAACACTTGGTGATAGTAAAAAATCAGAAATAGGCCAACTCTTCAACCAAACAGGACTACTTGAATACACTACAGCACATCTTTATTACAGAAAGTTAAGCAACCACCAACAGAAATGACACCTCATATGTGCTGACATGAAGAGATATCCACGATACAGTCTAAAGTAAAACAGAAAGTTGTAGACTAAGGTATAAAGTAAGATCTCATTTTGGTTGGGCGGGGGGGGTCGGAAGANGGGGGGGGGGGAAGGATGTATACATATATGTTGCATGAATAGAGAAAGGAGTGGAAGGATGTGCCCCAAACACTCAGAAGTGGGACTAGGAAAGGGAGAGTCTCATACTGCTTTATATTACTGGGTGTGAAGTCACTTGTTATGTAACTATGACATACTTTTATATAACTTGTTATATAACTATGACTACTTTTATAACTTGTAAAAGGTTTTATTTTGTAGTTATTACAAATTTGAGACTATCACGTATCCATCTGAAAAGCTCATGTATATACTGAACCTGTTCAGATGTATGCTCCTACTGAGCCCACTTAGGGTTACAGTGGCCACAGCAACTCTGAGCAGGATGGCGGGAGGTGATCTGCCCCACCCGGGAGCCCTACTGGGCCAGATGAGGCTAGTCCTAGTGAGTGAGGAGAGCCACGAGCTACCCTGGCCTCATCTCCCCTCTCCCCAGAACACCAGTTTGATGGGCATCTCCTCTGTCCCCTGGTAAGTGAACCTTCAGCTCAGGTCAGCTGGTCCAACCAGTCTTCTTACAGATGAGAGAGCCAAAGCCCAGGTGACCCTGACTTGCCCCAAATCACCTACAAACCTGACTGGTGCCCTGACTCCTGGTTCAGTCCCTTTTCTTTCACCTACATTTAAAAAACAACTTGTAAACCTTACCAAAAACCTGCAGAAAGGAGACTCAACATCCACCATACCTCCTCCCTGAAACCACTGCCAGCAGCTTTCTTTCATCCCCTTGAAGTCTTGGATCCCACGTATACAAGATCGTTAGGGCTGTTACTGACTGACAGGCAGTTCATATGCATGCCACCCAGGCATCTGTTTTCTCCTTAAACATTCCAGGATGCTCCTCTATAGTACCCATGATTCCTGTTCACTGCCCAGGTGGCATCCTCTATCCTACATACAGCAAAGCTGATTTACCCAGTCCCTACTGCTGGACACGCAAGTCCCTTCCAGGTTTGGCCACTGTAAGCAACACTGCAGTGAACACCTTTGGTACAGAGGCTGTCGTCTCAGTGATCATCTTCAGGGCAGATTCTAGGAAAGGGTCGTACTGAGCCAGGCAGGATGAACATATTAGGGTTCTGGATATAATCATGATGGAAAGGGGTGGTGGGCTCTGGGGCCAGAGTGCCCAGGTGGGGGTGGGGATGGCAGATGCTGGCTCCTCCACTTGCTGATTGGGTGACCCTGAGCCAGTTATTTACACTCAAGCCTTCTCATCTATAAAACTGAGATTAACAATAGCATTGATGGGAGAACTAAAGAAGTTTAAACACATAAAGATCTTAACTGCTATTTCTAGCTTACTGTTAGTATTGTTATTCATTCAGTACAAGAATACTGAGACATATCTTGCTAGGCACTATCTAAGTACTAGTTATCACCTTGACCAACTGCTTTCCCAAAGGACTTTGCTACTTTGCATTATCACTAGCATGTACGAAGTGTCAGCTTCAGTGCTGGATATTGTTGTTTTTACCACCCACATGCAAAAATTAACACCTCAGCACATGGTGATACCTCACTCAATTTTTTTCCACCTTCTGTTACCTATCTGTCTATTCATCTAGCTGTCTAACTGCTCATGACAAGTGAGGGGCTTCGGTGCTCTTCCAGTGTTAATCTCCAGAGACCACCACTGTACACTGAGGCATGGAGTAGCCTTGGAGAGAAGGGGACGGTTTCACCAGGCTCAAGTCTATGACATGCACACTCAGCCCATACTCTTCACCTCCAGAAAACACAATTCTATCCCAAGGCTGCAGGGAAGGCTGGTGGGATCCTTTCCCATAGTCCACTGTCTGAATTGGTGCTTTGGGTAAACCTGAATGTGAGATACTGGGGCGGATGGTGGGGGGCACAGTATGACTGCTCAGATCCCCCGCTCCCTGGCAGCTGCCACCCTGGTTACAGCCACAGAACTAAGGGACCTCATCCAGGCCTATTCTCACAGTGTACCGGGAAGTGCAGGACTTGTCTGAGGTCACTCTGATCATTCAGATCACACTGTCCCCACACTGCCGGTCGGGGGTTGCATCCACAGCTTCACGCTCACCATGGCTATGGGGCGGCCAAAGTCCAGAACCCAGTTCTGCAGGGTGAAGTAGAACCAGAGGTCAAGGTGGAAGGGAGCCGTGGCAGCGGCCTCATCAGCCTTGACGGCGCCGTGCCTGGGAAAGATGTAAACGAAAGCAGTCAGCCCTTCTCTCCTCCATGGGAAGATTCCCCACCAGGACAAGCCATAGGGATTTGTGGCCGGGAGGAAACACACGGGATTAAGTTCTAGGAAAAGGTTTTGCTGGAAGTACTGGGGCCTGGGGGAAGGGGTCCGGAGATGGACTCTGTCTTCCCTGACAGTTGCTTCTCTAGGATCCAAGAAGAAAAATACTCAACAGATACAATCACGGTTGGGCTCTCTCACCTATAGACTGACGGGGAGATCAGATGGGGCAGAGGATGCAAATGTGGCTGAAAGGCATGACACACGGTGACGGATGATGATAGCTAGGCTTCACTGGACATTTTCTGTATTCCAGGCACCACTCCAGCTGTTTACATGTACCATCTCATTTAACTCTCGTAATCCTCACGGAAACCTCTGAGGTTATGCTATTACCCTCATTTTACCAGTGAAAAGCTGAGCCCAAGATGCTAAGTGCTGTGGTGCTGTGCTCAGTTGCCCAGTTCCGTCTGACTCTGTAACCCCATGGACTGCAGTCCGCCAGGCTCCTCTGTCCATGGGGATTCTCCAGGCAGGAATACTGGAGCCCCAGATGATTACGTTTCAGAGCTTCTGCTGTTAACCTCTAATCTTACAGCCACAGGTTTCCCTGGCAGCTCAGTGGTAAAGAATCTGCCTGCCAATACAGGAGACGAGATGTGGGTTTGATCCCTGTGTCAGGAAGACCCCCTGCAGAAGGAAATGGCAAGCCACTCCAGTATTCTTGCCTGGGAAATCCCACGGACAGAGGAGATGGGTAGACTACAGTCTACGGGGTGGCAGAAGAGTCGCAAATTTATGACTACACAGCGACACTGTATTCACAGTGGTTTGTTCACGGGATAGGCGTGTGACCTGAGACGGACCAATAAGAGCCCCTTAGTGAGATGTGACTTATAGACGGTAGGCTGAGATGAACGCGGGGCTTCCCTTTCTCTTGGTTTCTGAACGATGAGGAGGTAGGAATGGAGGCAGGAATGTCCTTCCTCTCACCAATCCACAGTAAAACCTAAGGAGGAAGCCAGCAAGAATAAGGTGATGAGGGGGATGTGGCAAGAAGCAGAGCACCATCTTTGGATGCCCATCCCTTCTGCAAAGCAGTCAGCCATCTGTTCTTCACAGGTGAGCTGAAGTTCAAGGGCAGGAAACATGCCACCTTCTCCAAGAAGGCTTCCCTGACGAAGCTTTCCCCAAAGCCCACTACCAGAAGGACTTCATCTCTAACGCCCACCCAGGCCACGACATCACAGAGCTGGAGTTTTGCTCTTACTGAGACCCTCAAGAAGAAGGGTGATTTTAAGGTTCCTGCAACTCACCAATCTCCCCATCAGAGTACAAATCCTCTTTAGAGCATCCCCGCCGCTACTCGCACACCTTCAATGACAAGCAGTCGCCTCCTCCTGAGATGACTCAGGTGTGGGTTACACTGCCCCGTTAGCGCCCAGACCAGGAGCTGTGGACAAGTGCCTGTATTCTCCAGAGTTTTCAGCTCAGAACCTGATTTATGCCCAGTGATTACTGGCTAATATAAAACAATCCCAGTTACCAGTTACTTATAGCACTACCAAGGGCTTCCCAGGTAGCTCTAGTGGTTAAGGACCCCCTGCCAATGCAGGACACTCAGGAGACCTGGTTCAATCCCTGGGTTGGGAAGATCCCCTGGAGAAGGAAATGGCAACCCACTCCAGTATTCCTGCCTGGAGAATCCCATGGACAGAGGAGCCTGGTGGACTATACAGTCCACGAGGTCGCAGAGAGTCAGACATGACTGAAGTGACTTAGCATGCACCTACTCGTTCATTTCAGTGGCTAATCAAACATTAGCTTAGAGGCACCATGAAGGTTTCCCTCTGTCAGCACTGCTATTGCTTCTGTAATTTTCTGGGATCCTTTTCAGCCAATTCCAAGAATGGTCCGCACTGGGTTGCTAGAGCAACTCAGAGACAGGAAGGCAAGCTGTGGAGGAACTCATTATCCTCTGGTGGCAGGATGAATGGGTGGAGTGGGTTTTTCCAGATCAGCTAAGTCTTCCTGGCCATCCCCTCTGATCACTGCCTACTTACCGTGTGCCATGCTAGAAGCTCCACCAGCACCATCCCATCTAAGCCCCACAGCAATACCAGGAGACTGCTACCCTCTCATTTTACAAATGAGGAAACTAAGGCTTAACCAAGGTCACCTGCCCTAACAAGAAGCTGCATCAACTATTCCTTCTGCCACACTATTTCCCATTCCCTCCTCCCCCTGGTCAAAGATGATGTTCCCTGAGACAGAGGGAAGGCCCAAAACCCAGGTCAGCCCAGTGGGACTTTTCTAACTAGAGTTGAAAAGAGCACCCTCCTTTCTGTGCTGTGGGGCTAAAGATGAGAGCCCGAGGGCCCGGGGCTGCCTGTGGCCAAGGTACCAGCCTCAAGGGACAAGTCAGATAAGAATGAAACAGCCCTGCAGAGAAGAGGAGGAAAAGGCCTGAGAGGGTTCACATTCCCACTTCCAGGCATCCCCAAGGCAACAGTTTGGCCACAAGTGCCAAGCCATTCCCTTTTGCTAAGGGTGCCGCAGTTCACACTGGCTTTCTGTCACTCTGCAACCCAGGAGTCCTGAAGTGCACAGAATTCAAACTGAGGTCTATATGGATTCCAGACCTGTGCTTTAAGTCATTTGTTATTCTGCTGCTGATTACTATCAGCTATAGAATATATCAGGAGATCAAGATACAGAAGGACCGGTGTGGCCTGGAGCAGTATGCAAAGCCTGAAGGAAGGAATGGAGCCTGGAAACATGGGTGGGTGGATTCATGTTGGCAGAAAAGCAGTGAGAGTGCAGCGTCAAAAGCCTGGAGGTTGGAGTGAAAACGGCGCTGCAGGGAGCTGAGATGCCTGGCTTACTAGTGGAAGGAAGAGAAGGAGGGGCTGCCGGGCCTTCAGACTGGGCAGATGCTCAGAGACGACTAACCGTGAGGACAGTCTGAGATGAGTATGAAATGAGTGACTGGTACAGAAGTCCCACTATGCCCTTCCCCTTCGTGACCATCAAGGCAAGGCCTCAAAAAGCAGGCAGGAACAACCTCCAGGCCTGAAGAGCTTAGATGAGGAAGAAGGAGAACAGTCTTCACTGTTGGGACTTCCCTGGTGGTCCGGTGGCTAAGACTCTGAGCTCCCAATGCAGGGGGCCCAGGTTCGATCCCTGGTCAGGGAACGAGATCACATATGCCAAACTAAAGAGCCCACAGGCCGTGATGAAGATCCAGTGTGCTTCATTGAAGACCTGGTGCAGCCAAATAAATAAATAGATAAACATTAAAGAAAAAAAAAAAGGTCCTCAGTGTTCTGTTCTGGAAACTTTCAGAGCAGGATGGTAAAGAAAATAAAAGGCATTTTGCAAGCTCAGGAAGTACTTCATGTGAGTCTCTGGAAGCTGTGGATAGCAAGCACGTACTCAGGGCTCGAGGACTGTTTCCTCCTCCACCTCAGGAGGCACCTCAGTCAACTGGGATCCCTGCCGCGAGTCCAGCCTGGCTGAGCAGAGCAGAAAGAAAAAGGGCAAGTGCAAGGCTGACACCCAACTTGGGAATCAAGACGGGTGAGCATCTGTTTTCTTCTGCTGGGACTCTGAGCACAGGAGGCAGACCATGGAGGGTGAAGGCGTCCTCTCCCCCAGCGCTGTCCTGGGGACGAGCATCCTCATGCTAACCCAAGTACCTGAGTCCACAGACACGGAGTCCCCAGACTGCCAGCTCTGGGCCCCAGTCATCAGAAACTGCTGCCGAGAGCGATGAAAGCACAAGGGCAGGTAACCCAAGACAAGGATGGCCTTTTCACTCCTCCATAGCCTTACAAGCCTACCATCTGGGAAAACGGATACCCCGACAGTTGGAGACTACATACCATACAGCGCATAACATACAGATGAGATATTCAGAGCAGTCGGTTGTATCTGCAGGACTGCCTGGCAGAAAAGGAAGGCGTCTCAGCCACCGGGAGTCAAGGAGAGAGCTATGAATGGGGACGAAAGAGGGACTGATTTGGGTTCTATATGCACAATGGTGAAATACCTGACATGATGAGAATTTTAAACAAAAAATGAGAAAACAAAAACAAAAAAAAGGAGAAAAAAGGAAAGGCAATTTGAAATCCCAGGAAAAACAAAAGCAATGTAAGAAAGCAAATGTAATTTTTAAACTTACTGGACTCAAGGGAACAATATTTACATGGCTTAACAAATAAAAACGTACATTGATTTTCAAAGTTTAGAATCAATTCACAAACAAAACATGGAAAGCAATTACGGTTAAAAAACAGCAGGTAAATACTGTCAACCTTGACCACTTGAAAGTAAAACTATAGATGACAGGAGCTGGGGAAAGGGTAAAGAAAGCTAAAACTTCGGGTAGGAGAATAACAGTATCCTTTTAAGAAGGAATCAAGAGATACTGCCCTCATTTTAAATTAACTATACTTCAATAAATAAATACACTTTATTTTAAAAGATACTGCTTTATAGTTGACCAAAAGAGAAATAATGGTATTACATATTTCCTAAGGCTAGAGAGGTAACAAAGAGCAAAACTAAAAATGGTGATAAAAAGAACTATCTTGTGGAGAAGGAAGAGGTATGAGTAAACCAAATTATAACAGGATAATTAGTAGGTCAACATTAGCTTCATAGGCTAAAAATTGATAAACTAAGAAATAGCAGTTGAGCATAACTTTTGTGTGTGGGCTCTGGAGCCTGCCTGGGTTCACATCCCAGCTCTACCACTAACCAAATCATGAGCAAGTTACCTCATGGGCCTCAACATTCTCATCTGTAAAATGGGGGATAATAGTATCAAGTATTCAAGAGCTGTGGTTGGATAATAGTATATCCTACTTCAAGAGTTGTGGTTGGAAAAAAAAAAGTTGTGGTCGAATTAAATTACGCAAAAACCTTTTTCAATGCAAAAACTTAAGAGCAGGGCCTGGTCCACAGAAATTGGTATGTATGTAGTATTTGTTACTATTATTGAGAAATATGAATTTAATTCTGATACAAACAGCTAAAAGAAGCTAACATGGTTGTCTCTGGTACTAGAGAGAGGTGGAAGAAGAACCACTGCTTTTTACTCTAAGCCTGTCTATGCAATTTTATTTATTTATTTATTTTCAACATATAAAATTGATTTTATTTTTTCTCTACTTTGATTAAAACAGCATTCAGTAACATACTATAACACTAAGCATTTCAAATAAAATTGGTGATCAAGAAGGGCATAACCTCCTTCTGCACGACAACTGTGGATTTTAATTGGAAAAATCCTGTAATCTATAAGTAAGAATATCCAAAACATATTTAAACCACTTGAGCACTTGATTTTTCCATGTCCTTTGCATCTAGATTGAACAGACCACAGGAAATTTCAAAGACTGATTGCTGAACCTCCTTATCCTCAGAATCTCCTCCTTCCAAAAGCCAGTACAGTGGCTCCATTATGGACTGTAGATTAGATGAGCGAGGGGATGCTCAAGGACAAATTTCAGTCAACACTTGGAGGAACCCCATAGTTCAGACGTGAACTTAGCTGAAAACATCCAAACGTATTATGGAAGCATCATACTCATAACCGAGAGCCCGGAGCGGCGCAGGGCACCACCGTGTCCATCCCGTCCACGGCCGGATGTGGACGCAGCTCGAGAGGCAGGAAGCCCGGCTGAGACGCGGAGGGTACGCAGTGGCAGGGTGGACGCGGGGCTCACCTCTCCTCCTGCAATTTTATTTACTCATGGGCACGGACTGAAACCTGTTAACAGAGCACGTGAAAACTGGAATAGGGAGTGAGCACTTTGTCACTAGAGGTGTGTAAGCAAAGCATGGATGGAGCAGAGGAAATCCAAGCATCCTAGGAGTTGGACAGGGTGATTCTGCCTACTGTCTTGTGCAGCAATGAGACTGAGAACAGGAGGGCAAAGGGCAGGGGAGGTGGGCAGAGACCCCAGAAGAGAGCCAGCCCTTTATGCAATCCCCAGGAGATCCTGGCTGGTGGGGAGCTCATGCAGGGGTCGAGAGGAACATCACCCCTGAGCTGCTAGAGTGGAGCAGTAAGAACAGAAACCAGAAGCCCTAGGTTCACACCCTGGTTCTTGCCAGCAAACGATGTAACCTCTCTAGGTCTCGGTTTCCACATAAGAAAACACAAAAAGACTGAGGAAGACATTGCATGTGGAAACACTGCACAAATCAAGTGGAGACCACGTCTGAGGCTCACAGACAGTTCTAGCTGGGCGGCCACAGGTCACGGCAAAGACTCCCAATTTCTGGGGATCCAGAACCCAGATGTGCTTTAGCAGCAGGAGGGAGAGCTACTCTCAGCCGAGTCTCTCAGATTTCCTCCCTTATCCCAAATCATACCACAAACTTCCTAAAACTGACGCCCAGCACACTAGTGCTTGAAAACCTTCCACGGCTCCCCTGTGCCCTACAGAACAAAAGCTGCACCCTTAACCTGCCATTTAGAGCAGGAACTACGGTGAGGCAAGTGAAACACACGGGACCCAACATTTAAGGAGGTACAGGTGGGCCATAGAAGATTTTTGAGCACTAGTGTCCCAAGAGTGAGCCTCTCCTTAACTTTTGCACTCTAAGCTCTCACTCTGGTCCCAGTTCTGCGGCCTTAAAGGCCCTTCACAGTCTATATTCCTCTTACCACTGCACACACAGAAAGCAGCAGCACAACTGCACTCCTTGCCTTTCCAAGCTTTCCCAGAGCTGAAATAGCCTTTATTCCCTTGTCACCTGCTGAGTACTTTGAGATGCAGCTTAAGCGCCACTTCCTCCAGGAAGCCCTCCAAGTCGATCTCTCAACTCCTGGCCTCTGTTCCTACCAGGTCCTACTGGACTGTGGGGTCCTCCGGGCTTCACTTTACCCACCCCTGGCACAGCGCTGGGGCACACCAGAGATGATTAATGAATGCCCGCTCTATGCAATGAATGTCTGTGACCTGTAAAACGGGATGAAGGTAGAGTGAAGAGGAAGATTAAAGGTGGCTTCTGTACCTCTTCCTCGGACCCAAGCGCCTGGCCTCAACTATCAATAACAC